CTAATAATAACAAATTTACATAATTCTACATCATTTCCTTTTTATCCATTAAATAATTATAACAAATAACAGCTAAATATTATATCAATTTATTTTGAGCGGAAATAACAATTTCAAAGAAATCGAGTAATGTTTTTATTTGCCGAGATTTTAGACCGTCGAATAAACTTGGGAAATCTTAAAATAAAGATGAGAAAATTTCCCGATTTTAAGACACAATCATATGGGCGTACAGTAAAACGACACTAAAAAAAAAGCTCTTTTGTTAATTGGTCGCTCAAAACCAAAGGATGGGGAGATTTCCGGGAACTTGCGAGACGCAGCTTGTCCCGTGGGATATCAAGGAAATTCTACGGATCGGAAGTCTTTCAAATATTTAGCAGCAATATCCAATTTCTCCTTCTGTATCCCCACAATTCTTCATAGTTGATTTACTGAGGCCATCGTTCGACTAAAGGCCATTATCGATCGATTTTGAATTATACATCTTTAATTAGAAAAATTGTACACCTTTAATTAGAAAATTGCAAAACTCTTGTATAATATTGCAAAACATTGTACAATGATAATAAAGTTAATCACCTTATTTAAACAGGCAGCAATAACATACTTCTAATTAAATAAAGAAAATTAGATAGCCATGTTTAGAACTTATATGAGCTGATAGATGTTTAGAACTTTTAAGAATTCTGGAGTTACATAATAGTTTTTCTTTTGTACCTTTATTTCAATCAGCACCTGTCAACGCAACTAAGAAAGTTAAGACGTGGTGCACGAATAACTCTTTGGTAAGTTGTTGATTTCGTCAACGGATAATTTCAGTGTGCGGGAAAATTGCGGATATTAGCGACACATAGTGGCTCGTCAATTTGGAAATGACAAGGCGGTCGGCCGCGTGGACACTGCCAAATGGAACTTCTAAATGGATAAGATATAAGAGTTAACACTCGAGCGAAAGAAGGAATTAGGTGTCTGATGTATGACCCACCGTCATCTACCCGTTCGCTTCCGATGAAGCATGCGCCCCGTAAATGATGGCGACATTTTCTTTAGATCTTTCTTGAGAAACATGATAAATCCAATGGAGTCGCGAGAATGAAGAGTGTTCTCATTAAAATATAAAACTTATTGTTAATACGCCAAGAAAACGAAAAAGCTTTTCGCGTATAATATGCGGATTATTGTATTCTCATGCTGGTTTAATCTAGACTTTTGTTGTAAACGTAAAAGGTCTCGAAAATTAATATCATCGCCAAATCATAATTGCGAGATCGATAAACCGCCCTTCGAGGGGCATTCCCTTCGCGCGAAGTTTGCAGATTCGATCTTCGCAACATCGACACGAGCAAACGCACAAGTTAGGGAAGTAGAAGTGGATGGCAGGGTGATGCATGTCCCGTGTACCAAGGGGCGAGGGGATGGCACGGAAAACGTGATCCTGTGACTGATCCGTGAAAGCGTGAAAGGGTTTCCACTCCTTTTTCCACCCCTTTATCCACTCTACGAGAACACGGGAGTGTCGCGAGGCGACGATCAATCACTCCATGCCACAGCACCGACGCACACCTCCCTTCCTACCTAACTGACATCACCCTCAACCGTCACCCACTTCACCACCCCCCGGTTAGGATATTCACATAAAGGATTTTTACTGAAACCGATGATGTTCCTTGAACTAAATGCGTGTTCCATGCGATATCTCTACATTACTCGTGCATTATTTAAATAAACAGAGAAAATGAGAAAAATTTTCGTTATTACATCAATGATACTTTGGTAATTATTAATGTGCCAAGATATTACACCAAAATTATATTCTCTCAGAAGACAATTTTTTTGTCTATTACTCATTCCGAATGATATATTCATTTTTAACAAAACAGAAATACGCCTCAAAGAAAATGTTTGATGTTCACTATAGCTTTTCTTCAAAAATATCGGTGAGTGTAAAAAAGAAAAAAAGAGAAAAGGAAGAAGAAAAGAAGGAAGGAAGGAAGGAAGACTCATGCGAGAAAGAGAAAAAGGGCGGCGAGTGAGTGGCGATTAAGGATCGTAGGGAAGCGAGCACGCACTGGAAATCGTAGGTCAAGATATCCAATGCCGCTTTTACGGGCCATGTCCGTGTCGGGAGATACTAAAACTAATGTATTCATGAGATAATTATTTCTTGCATTCATTACGGGGCTGTAAAGTTTTTATTGGACTCTGGTCGGGCTGGCAAAGCGCGAGGTACCTTTACAAAGTTAGAGATGACTTGCTCTCTCGGTCGCCTCTTTCTTCTATTTCATGCAGGCCCGTTTACGGCACATTTAAGGACAGTTCTTAGCCCCGAATCGTGCCGATAACCTCCGAAACTCAAACAAGCTAGGGATATCTGGAATGCTAAAAGCATTCTTCAGTAATGTTTAACGACTCAAGTAATATTTCGACGACTGCAATGTGCATCGAAAGAAATACAGGCTGCTTCGTTCTTATATTTTATGCACATTGCTGGCTGATTTTGAAGAATCATAATGATTTCGTACGCAGATATCATAAGACGTATGGAGAATTTATTTATTACATTAAACATTAAGAGTATGTTTATCATTAATCAAGAAGTTTTGAGAACATTTAAAAAGTTGATATTAAAAAATTAGCATTGTCAACTTATATGAATTTTATATGTAAGAGATAATAATTCTGCTCCATAAACTATATATATTTCACGAAGAAAATTTTATATTTAATATCTTTAATATTTTTTTCTAGATGTTTAATTTTAAATACACATTATCATGCAATAAATTCATTATAAGAATTTCTTTGTCAGCGCAAGCTTCACTCATTATTTTGGTTGTCTATAGAGTCTCTATTTTTACGAGGCACAAAGGCAAACAGCCCGTATAATAAAACGTTTCTCGCACGCGGATGATACAGCGGTTCTCTCTCTTAAAACGTGGGGATATTAATGCCGCGCGAAGGAGTGATTAATTGGAAGCGCGGCGCCGCATAGGAATATCGACGACAGTACACTTCGTCGGAATGGAGAACCTTATTCGCCTTTGTACATCCGCCAATTATATCTCTTTAATTAGAGTCACTTCCGCGCAACACCCTCTCAGACATTAAATAAAAAGATGCTCGTTAAAATCTTTTTTCATCCGCGACCCGACGTTTTTTCTGTCCCGTTTTAAATATGCAAGTTTAATGGCTATTCAAAGAGTTTGGTTGGAAATTATTCCGCGCTCCGGGATCTACTTTATTAAGGTATCTTTACAGTTACTCTCTTTTTATTCCTTCCGTCTTCTTTATTATCAAGATAGATATTTTTTCTGCATATAATTTCGATACGTCGCGTCACTCAAATATTTAATGATTGTAGTTATAACATCGTATATTTCGATGATATCGTATTGTCATGAAATTAAATGTAGTCAGTGTCATAAGAGTATTGTTAGTAGTTTACTGAAAAAATCGAATGTATTAAAAGTTAAAATTTTATTTTAAAACTACATTATAAGTATTATTATAAAATGCATTTTCTTTACAATTAGTATAGCCACCATATCAAATAAATGCATTTTAGTAAATGTTATTTATATGATTATTTTTATTAACTATAATTTTAATTTTTTTTCATTATTATACTTGATTTCTTTCGGAGAATTGTTGACGCTCTTGTGCCACTGACTATATATTATAATCTTAAAATATATAATATTATATAACACGTGTATAATCTTATATATTTGTTATTTTTGAAAATTTAGATTTCATCTTTAAGTGTTTGTTCGCAATGTGTGTAATTTTTTTCAAGCATATAAGACAAAAAATTACGCAACATAAAAAATGAAAAAAATATTTGACATTATAACTTTGCAAACATTCTTTAGATATTCTTTGAACTTCCTTCTTTTGGATTTCCGCATTGCTTGAAAGTTTCCAAAGAACCCCACTTAAAATTTCGATTCGATTCAACCTATGTGCCAGTCGAGAATTTTTCTCTTGTACTGATACTCTTTTATATTATAGAACTAAGAAAAAAAAGTAACATGGGTAGGTAGAGACTGTCCCAGAAGGACATAAGGCACCGGTGGAATATTAACAAGTTTGGAAGATAGGATATTCCTTTCTATACTGCTTTTGCTGAGTGGGAAAAATATATCAATTTCTCTGTCGCATAAAAATGTGCTTATACGTTGCACACGAGGAATAGAAAATATTCTATGGATTTTTCTATATCCCAGCGCTAACACAATTACAAAATATGCCGTTCATGGAACAAGAGAAGAAGGACAAAGAGAGATGGAAGTGGAATTTTCTTTCCGCTTTCCACATTTCTCTAATTACTATAAAATTCTAGATATTAATTGTTCTACTATGTATTATAATTTTTCATTGTACTACATTAATTTTAATGTTTTTCAAATCTTTTTTCTACTATACAAAAATCAATACGTAAATGAACGATATTTCGAAAGAGATCAAGTTTTTTGTGCGAAAAATCGAATGATCCTTAAAGAATAGAGATTTAAGAATCGACATAAAAGGACAAATACTTTCGATGTGCAAGGGAGGCAGAATTCGAAAGAATAGAGTTGACGATGTGAAAATGATGAAGACCGGAACCGGAAATGAAGTTCGTCGTTGTACATTACCCTAACGCCGTTAGTGGAAAAAGCGTAAATGCATGATCAATTTACAATACAGTTTACATGACAATTTTTCTAATAATAATTTATGTATTCGTTGTTTAATTTTACGTAATAAAAATAAAGAAAAGATTTTATCTTAAAGATTTATAAAGAATCAATTTTATAAAACACTTATACACATGCTTGTATGCTAAATTAAGTTTGATTCTCTGGTAATATAAAAATATAATTTTAGATAAAAATAAAATAGAAGAATTTTTTAAATTTATTTAAATTGCTGATAAATCTCTATTTTCCAAAAAATTGTTCGCAAATCGAATGTATATCTTAACATGCACTTCTCTCGCAAGTCATGTTACTTACCGGAGGGATGAGGGGAGAACGAAGAAATCGGATTTTCTCAACGCGAGAAACGTTAAACGGAAGAACGATCGATGACATGGGCGCAAACGTCGAGACATGAGATTTTCGCACGTGTTCACAGGCCTGTCTGTGCGATTCTCGTAATCCTGCGCCGCCCACGCTCGAGCTTTCGCTTCTCCCTGTAAAAAGGAGAGCGGAATTGAAATCGGCTTTTCGAAATTGCGCACCGTCCCGTAAACATCCCCAGGGAAAAAGAAATGCAAACACGCCTATGCTGAATGCGTGGACTTATCAAAGAAGAAGGGAGATAACAAAAGTGCAAAATTTGGGATTGAGAGAGATGCGCCGTTATTCTTAGGATCGAAACTCGTATCTAAATCCAAGGTAAATCCAAGAGAAGCATTAGGAAGCTTTAAGTTCAAATAAACGAACCGTTTGTGTACGATTGATGAAATATGGGGAAAAGATAAGATTTCTTTGATCGAAAAGAATAAACTATAAAACATTAAGATACGGTTTAAAAGTAACTACATCGATGTGGTTCTATTTTTGATTGCTATTTTTGACAAAAATAGGAGTTAATTATATATAAATAATAACAAACATATAATAATTTATATTATATTTTATTTTTATTTTATTTTATTATGTTTATTATTTTAAAATGTTTCATTGTTTTGGAGAAAATTATGAGAAATTATGTTCAATATGTGCGATAAATACATAAAAAACTTAAAATTCTCTAATTATTACTAATTATTTTTGTTTTTAAAAATTCATAAATTAAAAAATCAAATATAATATATAAAATGTATAAAAATTTATAAAATATCGTGAAATTTTAAATTTACCGTGTTATTTTAAATTTGTTAAAATATTATATTAAATATGTTACAATAAATTAGCTTTATCCTAACAATTATTGATAATTGAATTGACTATCCGCAGAAATTGTACAATTATTTCAAAAAACATTTCATAAAGTTACTGGTCACGTCATCTATGTAATTATAAGGTAATTATAATTATGCCTGCTGAAATGAACATTGAAATACATGAGTAGGAAATCAATTGTAACGCCATCGTGCGGACATGATTTGAAACATGTATCTTATAAGTACAAATCGATTTTTTCAAAAATGTTACAATCAGAAATAAAGTGATGAAGGCTATTCTTATTCTTATTCAAAAAAATATTATTTTGCAATAAAATTTAAAAAACAATTGACAAAGATAATTTTTATGATCGTACATTAAGTAACATATGATTCTATGAATGACATGCAAACATCAAATATAAATGCAAATATAAAAAATAAAAATAAATTGACTTACCTTCTAATCATGGAGAGAGAGAGAGAGAAAGAGAGAGAGAGAGAGAGAGAGAGAGAAAACGAGAGAGAGATACATATACTTATAGAGTAATATAAAAATAGATAATATATTATATTTATTCCGAAGATTTATAGTTTATATAATCTATATTATATAAAATCAATTAAAACAAAATAATGAAAATTATATATATGTTTACATTATAAACCTACTAAAAAAACATCGAAAAATTTCTATTTGAAAATACCAATCACACTTCTTTTACATGTTCTTTCACTCTTAAACTCCATAAAACTAATTTTCCTTTTTCCTTAAGCTTGTATGGAAAGCAAGGGAATGTAAGCTCCACCCATTTCTTACTCCCAATAAAGATAAAAAGATGTAAATTTAAAATATTGTAAATATTATATCCCCTTTAATTTATATTTATTACAAAAATATTTATATAATAAAAAAATATTTTATTACGTTACATGTAAGTTATGTAGATATTACAAATTTATTATTTACTATTTTTTAAATAATTCTTATAAAGAATTATTTGTACAAAATTATTGTTTTATCTTTAATTTTTTTGACAATCTCTTCATAACATTTTTCTTTATAAATAGTATACAACGCTCTAGTATACATTTTTTTGGGATTGAGCACATGAAAGGGGTGATTATTTTTTTCATTCAAGGGATGAAAAGGGGGAAGGGTTGAAAGGATTGAGAGGGATAGAAATTTTTCTCACTAGTATTTCAATATTTCATTGTGTGTGAACTGTTTCAACAGTATTTCAGTAGATAGTAAGCAATAATTTTAATAATGCAATTTTAAAAAGTTAGTTGAGCAGTATGAAGATAACGTTTAATATCTGCCAAATTATATATTTAAAATTATTTTAAATTATATCAGAACCGTTTATGAAAGAAGTGTACTGAAAAATACAAAGCATGTATCTCTAAAGTTACACATGTATTTATTTCTGTAGATAAAGATTAGTCATATTTAAATGTAAATATTATAGAAAATTGTGATCTATTTTTAGAAAACTAAAAGTAATTTCTAAATACACATATAAAGCATATAATACATATATATAAGTGTACAAAAAATAAAATAGAACTAAGTATTGTTTTTTTATAAAAGCAGTTTCCAAATTTTTCACAAGTACAAATAATTCTTGATATATAATACGTACACTTGAAATTATTACACACTTTCAAAGCTACCACTGGTTCACATAATCCTGGCATCCTGACAATAGTTTGATACCAAACACACTGCGAAGTAGATTTGACAACAGCCTGTGCCAAACTGAGCTACCCTTTCCATGCAGAGTAGTCTGCGGGGTAGATCCAATACTATCCTACCCAATCACAAGCGGCTCCCAACCAACCCCCAGGAGTTTCTCTTCCGTAAGAAACGTTGGAGAGGGACAGCGAGCAGCAGTCTCTGGGATACCGAGCATGCTCGGACGGAGCAGTCGAAGTCCCATGTATCGTATCCTATCAATATAGACAGAAAACAGAAGAAAAATTGACCAATTTAATATTTATGCAGTAAAGATGATAGATGTCTTATTAGTATCTAACTTACTTGTGTTATTGGTGTGCCTTAACTTAAATTATATGAAGACACCTATATACTATGCTTATAATACTTAATTAAATGCAAAACATGAATATTTTAATGTACACAAGTTGCAAATTGTTGAAGGAACGCAGTCAATATTTCTGCTGCTGCAGCACCCTTTTTTAGCAGCTACCCCTTTTTATGGAGAAAGGGGTTGCTATACCCCTTTCAAAGGGGTTAAAATATAAAAGAAGGGGGACTATGTAATATGGCATTAGGAAGATCTTTTATCAAAGGACCAAATGGTAAATTGAATAATGGCAGTCAGAAAGTATGCTACTTTTTTACTATCTTTTTTTTTTATAATCACGAACTATTGACACTTTCATATTCAAATCTTTAAATTATTAAAACTCATTCTTCAATTACAAAAAATATAATTTATTTTGGCACAAATATTTGTTATATAACACATATGTGATAAATCATATTAAACGATGTTTAAATATGATGAGTAATCGCAAAATCGATAAAAAATATTTTTCTACATTACACTTTCTCTATAACCTAATAGATTTGATTATTTCCTTCTTTTATTAGGAAATGCTTGATGAAAATGAAAAAAATAATGTTTTACATTTAATCTTAAATAATATGATTTATATTTCTTTTTGTTAAAAATTTTGTTCATCGATTAAACAACAAGATTTTTATTAAACTAATCTCACAGCGTGGTTAGGTTAGGTTAGGATTAAAGTTTCAACTGTTTCAAGCAGAGACATTCTTTATCCACAGAGCACTAGTCAGAAATATGATCGAGTTTCATGAGTTCACCACAGTTTGCGACACAAGATTTGTTCCTTGTTATTCGAACTTTTTTTATGTTTTCCACCTTTTCTCCTTTTCTCTCTGATGCTTAATTATATATCCTATTTCACTATAAGTGCAGAAAGTATAATATAGTGCCGCTACAAAGAATTATAAAAAATGAAAGAGTAGCCATATAGTAAAGTAATAATAGTCAATAGTAGTGTGTCACGATGTTTGTAATTTTATTATAACTTGTTCATTTCTTACATGTCTTAGATATTACAAATTGAATAAATATCACTGAAAAATGACGCTATATCACTTCGGAAATTGTTTGGCATTAGTATATGTACCATACTATTTAACTTACAAATATTCTGGCTTGTAAGTATTATATTTTCGTTTCTAACCTAATTTTCAAATGGACATATAGTAAGGGAAAATATTTCCAGGTCGGAGTACGGTGCCTTCTGGAAATGCAATCAAGCTGGTGGTATTTACATATTCACGCAGCTCGTAAAAATGCTAGCACTTGCAACATTTTTTCCAACCGCTGACAATGTGGGAGAAGAGGGTTTTGATATCTTTGGAGTATATATTATTAGATATTTTTCCTTTACAATTAATTAATAATTATTAAAATTTAGTGTGTTCAAGCTAACAAAGCAGCTAGCCTGTTCGCCAAGCAATTAAACGTGATTGATTCTTATCTTTAGTGAACAAATTAATAATAAATTTGTCATCAAGTTAACATCAAGTTCCTATGCTATATCATCATAATCAGGTAGCAAATGAGCAATCTGATGACTCGACTGGAACAAACATGTTTTGCGTCGATATGGGTATTGCATCATCTATATAATTTTTTTTAAGTTTCTGAGGAAATTTGTCAAATGTATTTTGCATATTCATATGTCTTAATTTCACAATTTTACTTCTCTGTGACTATCCTGTGGAAGATTGGAAGCATCTATATCCGGGTAGTAAAGTTTTTTCGAAAACAGACTTGCAAAATCTTGCTATAAATTTCGTTAAGAAGAAGACAAACAAAATATGATTTATCAAATGATATCGACAAAATGTTAGCACATATATAACAAAATCTGTTGACATAATTTAATAGCAAATTGACAGCAAAAAGCGAACAAGATCTATCATTTTTATTTAAGTTGATCTTTCATTATATTTACCATGAGATGGATACTTTTTATAAAAAAACACCTAAAAGTCCTATATAAGAAGATAAGTTAACTAGTCTCCTGGAGAGATTCTTTCAAAGTATGATTTTTGGGTGCAAATTTTGCTAGTAAAATATGAATTTATTCACACAGATTACATCAATAGATTTTATATATATTTATCACCAAATTGCTGATATTGAATATAACAGAATTTATATCAAATTCGGTGCTTTTTTGTCAACAATATTTGTACCAAACATTTAACCAAATTTTTTTTTAACAGACTTTGTTGACTGGATATTTATAAATACAATCAATCACTCGGCAAGCAGGCTAACAGCTTTGTTCAGCTTTGCATATGGTCATTCTGTCACATTAACTTTATATTATCTAAAAATAAAAAACACCCCTAATTTATTCTTGCTTTCATAAAAAGCTTTGCTTTCCTTTTATAAATAGAAAATACATTTTAGGAATTTTTAAAGTCATCTATTGATCTGGCAGACTTGGTAGGAATTTTATTGGTACTAAATAGTATACCTGGCAAAGGGCATGCCAAGGTATTAACTGCTGGTATAGGATGGGCAGGAGCTGAAGTACTGCTTACAAGATTTTTGTTGCTCTGGGTTGGAGCGCGTGGTGCTGAGTTTGATTGGAAATACATTCAAAAGAGTCTTGAATCAAATATCAATTTGGTAAAAATTTATAATTTATACTTTATGATGAGAAATTGACATATATGCAAAAAAACTTAGATTTGTGATTTATTTATTAACAGGTGCAACACATAACGACCGCAACATTGGTTTGGTTATGGTCTAGACATGATTTACGGCGTGGTTTAGTTCCTATAGTAGTTGGTATGCTTGTACTTACAGTATATAGGCCACTCATGCTAGACTTTCTTTCATCTCTTTTGTTAGCTGGTCCATGGTCAACACTTATTATTAAGGCGATCACTACCTTTTTCATCGGTGCAACAACGTTGCATATTTACGCAGGTCTTGCGCATTCAATTGGAATTTTCTGAAATTCATGAATTTATTTATGTACATATTTATTGTAATGTACGATTGCATTAATCGTGTCTCCCATTTTTTAATAATACCATAATTGTACATTACGTAATAAATGCTGCTGTTGTTGCATTATACTCTTTTATCTTTATAATTTTATGTTCTAAATTTCACACATAATTTCACACATAATTTGAAAGTACCTTACATCAAATATTATATTCAGCAATAATCTTGCGAGCAATAATCTGTGTAGTGTATTATATGGAAGAAAAGAAAAGATTTTTTAAAACTGATATTATATTTTTTTAAATAAGAAATTTTTTTAAGAAGGTAAAAATACCAAAAAATATATAATAGATTTTTCTAGATACGATAATACTATGCAAAATACTTTTGCATCAGTGCATGTTACATGACTTTTGGTCATGTCACTGGACACTGATTTTTTTAATTCAGAATATACAGTATGAATATTTTTACTCAATTTTTTAAATAAGAAATATAAATAAATTTAAAATATAGAAATGATTATTTTTGAATTCTCTAAATTTTATTAATAAAGCACTTATAATTTTTTTCTTATGATAGACCTGTTACTTTGATTCATATCTTTGTTTTATGAATATTCTTTTGAGAACAATGGCCGAATGCGATCTCTCATTTTAGCTTTTATTCTAGAGGCTCCGCTCTATTACAGTTAATGGACGTTAGTGATTGCAGGTCTGTATATACATAAATATTTGTGGTGACAATCATTTTAGAATAGAGTTTGCTAATAACAAATCTTAATTCAAAACTAAGGCAACAGGAATAATCTTTCTTTTTCTTTTGAATATAAATCTTTTTGCAACAAATTAAACCCTATTGATTAATTGTATGTTAAAATACACAATGAAAATTAATCAAAGAAATTGTAGATGAAACATATTTGTAATTATTGTATATATATATAATTTATTATTAAAATATTCTATACTGTACTGAGTTATAAAGAAAATTTTTTGAAAAATAAATAATTTATTAATTTTGCTAATTCTTGAAAATGTATAAATTGTAAAAGCAGAGTATTTCCCCAGCTTAATATGTTAATATTTGATCTGAAAGAGAGTTACACATTGGAATTTCCATTCTATCTACTCATTGGGAAATGTATTTATACATCTGCTAAAAATATAGAATATTCCTTGTTTTAATAACGTATGTAAATGGCGGATTCAATAAATCAATGATTCATAAAATCAACTTTCCTTAAGTGTACATTTATATATGAATATGTCAAGTCCGTATTTTTTTAAATATATAATTTAAGAATCTGCTCAGGGACATAACATATCTGTCTACAGACCTGAGCTCTCTTTTATTTCACAGCACGTTGACAATGCTGGAATTCAAATTGATCATTGACTAATATATATTACGTACATTATATCAATAAACTCTCGTGAGGTGAAGGTTAACGAGAATGTAAGGGGTTTGTATAGCACAAATGAAAGTGAGACTTTTTATATAACGTCATTTTGTTTAGTATGTTTCTATGCCAATATATATTTTATGCCAATATATAGAACGAATATACATTATTTTCATTATATTATTCTTTTTCTGTATAAATAAAATATTCTTTCTATTTTTTTTTAAATATGACGAACTTTGTGGGATAATTTTTCTATAATTAAAAATTGTATTTATACGTAAAAAAATCCAATATTGTCGATTTCTACAACATGTTAACGAATAATCTGTCTTTACATTACAAAACAAGCTGATACTTTGCAGTTTTATAAATTTGTTTTGTCAAGTAATCATGACCTCTATCACGTAACTGAAAAGAATTTATCACGTGTAGATACAAGTTTGATGTACTTTCCCCTTATCATCTCATAAACTATGTGACGTTTATTTACGTAGGTGTAACGAAAAAAATTTAATGCCACGGGCGTCATCTGCATTTACGAGTTTCTTATTGTAAACAAGACATATAGGTATTTATTTGTTAATTTTCAAAAAATTTAGAGTTATAAAATTTTACGAAAAATATATATTGTCCCTCCTTTAATTTTAATATAAAATTTTATAATAAAAACTTATGTACTAAAAAACATGATATTCATAAAACATGATAAAAATACGAAATTCAAATACGAATTTATAATGTTGAACAGTTATTAATTATTAAGCAAACAAACAATTTATCTTATTTCCTTAAATATAATATTTTTAAATTATTTATTATATTTTGTAATTAAATTTTTTATATACTTTGGCATATTTATTTATAGCTTTATTTGCAAATAATGCCTAATATTGCAAATGATTATTCTATTACTTCATACAATTTTTTAATTAATTATTCATGAGAATATTTTATTACAAAAAGCGATGTGTTTTTACACGTGTATACATGCATAGATATTTCAGAGTTCTAATATTAATTCATAATACATACGTAAAGGATTTTCTTGGTAAGAGTCATTTTTCTTCAGTTAACGGTTATTTTAACGCGTCACCAAAACAGGTTCCAAAGTTCACGTTTTGTCTATACGAACAAGTTGCTCCATATATATTGGCGTACGTGATGTAACCCAGCGGGTCAGGACATTAGTGATCCGGCATCTCTTCATTTAACTCAATGACGCCCGAATACACGCGCCTGGATGATCGTTTGCCAAACGATTACGTGAAAATAGGAAAAACAACTGTGGACTTTGGACGCATGATCCGCCAAGAAAAATGCAAGCCGGTTTCATCAAGCCTAATATATGCAATTTATGCTAATCAAATATGTATTAGAGCATCGTCAATAGCATAGATTGTCAAGTTTCCGATAGCAGTGAATTAGATAAAAATTTGATTTAAAAAAATACTTAAATCATTTCTGTTAATCGAAAGTTTGTATTATACAATATAGTAGAAGTAGACTATCAGTGAGATAGTTCTAGGAGTAATACTCAATTACTCAATAAAAGGTCAATGAAAGTAACTTCATGGATAGAAGATAAGACTTTTTTATGACCTTGTGAGAAGTTCACGTTAGTGAATTTTCATTGTTTGTGATTTTTTATGATAAATATCCGGTTCGGAGAAAAGACGCATGTTCGCCCAACGCGCGCAAGTTGTCCGATATTGTGGTAGAGGGGCTAACTGTTCCTTTATTGGCTCGTACACGGAGTTGTTCACTTGTGGGTTCTGGTCGATGCTGCTTAAAGCCGCGGTGGAGCCAGACCTACTAGTCGCCGGAGAGCCGAGAAGTACGCATCTATCGACCGATCGCATCTGCAGAGAACAGCGTCTATTCTCGTCCGGACGGACATACTTGCATCATCTCCATGACAGAATGTGAAAGAAGGAGCTAAAGCTGAAGAATCGAATCTATAAGTCTCGGGAAGCAGTTAAAATTTCTAACACTGGTTGGTTGAACGCCTACATCGATAGTGCGTCGACAGCACATCGATCGGAATTTTGCCGAAAAGGAGTAGGAACGGGAGGAAGAGAAATCACGATAGAAAAGGAGTATAAGAGCGATTACAACAGTGACCTCGACTCAAAGCCTAGAATCTCGGAGCAGAAAAGCGGTCGGTGAGATCGGAGCTAGGTGCCGCTATTACTATGTAAATTTTCAGCGGGTATATTTATTTGCGCGCGCGCACTGTCGCCAACGAGCAACGATATTAGCAGCAACGGCAACATTATCGTTAATAGCAGCGAGTGAAACGGGCACGGGCGAAAGGGAATCGCGCAGAACGCTGCAAAGTAGATATCTGGTCTTTTCTTTGACAGATCCCAAGGAAGCTCGCAAACTGGCTCCGGAAGTGAGGATAAAGCAAATTGGAATGAGGGAGGAATGGGTAAATATAGTTCGGCACTCGAGCAGTGATCACTTCTCGGAACAGCTTTAGCCGGCGGCTTAACCAGGAAGTAGAAACGCGAGCAGCGGGATCAGCGGCCAGGTTGATAATTCGCAAGTAGAATATACGCGCGATAGAGTAGAAGCTGTTCTCGCTCGTTGGCGGTTTTTTTTTTATTTTGGAGCAACTAGCTCCACGTCGGGCTTCCTTTTGCTCTGAGAATCTTCGGTGTTACTCCTCAACAATTCCGTCGTCATCAAAAAGGAGAGAAACGGAAAGGGAAGGCCGAATATCCGGAAGACCGGTTGTTCTCCCTACGAGTTTCTCGGTTATGCCCTGGGTCGCCGCATGTTTTGATCTGTTGGCGACTCCGTTACTGGGTTACTGCCTCGCGGTCAGAAAACTGGCCCTGCAAGCCGGCCTCCTGCAGGAGAAAAAAAACGATCTCGCCGTGAGGCAGACATCTAACACGGGGACACCCTTGAACGCTGACACCACAACCATCATGGCTCCTAACGCGGAAGAGCAGCGTCAAGGTAATGTTTCGCGTGGGGTGAGTTGCTTGATGACGAGGGCTGTAAGGAGGTTGTGAATTGTTGTCTGCTTACGTAATATATATATCTCGTCTTCTTTTACGTCACTATTTTTGAACATTCGATTTCACGTTGAGAGTAAAAGTATCTACGTACAATTAGCATACAATTAATATAATTGAAGTGCTTTATATAGCGAACACATAATAAGATATATAATTCTGACATACACCAGGTTCTTGATTGCATGGTAACTAGTTATATAATTTTTGAAAGAAACGAAAATAATCTTAAATAAACCCATAACAAAAATTACAATGTTCTTAATAATGTTGTGTAATTGTATTATTTATCTTAAATTATTATATATTTATATGTCCGAATCTATCAAAGCATTTATTAATAAAGAATAAGCGTGGTCTCAGAATAATTATCAATTGGACACACAATTTTGTGTGTCCTGTAGTTGTCCTGTAAAAAAATGCTGGCATAATTTCCTCGATAAATTATCTGTGAATTGTATAGTGTAATTAACATTTATTTTAATAGCTTTACAATAGCAGGTTTGGGTGTTAAGTAGCTTTTATTGCAATTTATGTGCATTTGTACTATTTCCTGCTTATTGTTACAATCAACATTAACTGATTCATTTAAAAGCGTTTCAAACAAACGTTCACAGCATGAGGCAGAACAAGAGAAATTTGAAACTTATACGTTTTCATTTTGTTTTCATTTTCATTTTTAAAATATAAATCATATGATATATCATGTAGATAATATATTCTCCTTAGTGAATTTTTCTTACATTGTATTAGAAGCCGGTTTAATGAAATTCAGAGGAAATGAAAAGTGAAAGGAAAACAACAACTTAAATATTGAGGTCGCCGTCTTCACTATCGCAATGCCCGTCTTGTTCATCTTACATTTACGCTTCTTCATTCGTTATTTTCAGCGTGAAAATAATAGCAGTAAATATTTCGTGTCATTAAAATGTGGAAAATATGTGTAAATTTATTATATTATCATTATATCTCTTGTGCATAAAAGAAAGTAGCTGGCTAAAATTATAAAGGATATAAATAAATGTATAAATACGATCCATTTAATCGTCATCATTTTCACTACCTTACATACAATAGCTTGGACAAATCATCGTGAACAGAGTTAGTATTTCGCATTACGCAGTTCAGATTTTTTTTCAAACTTGTTAATGCAAATTCAAGTACGTACAAGCATTGTGCTATCAATGTGTGTTTCATTTTTAATACAACATCCGCACTTTTATTTGCGACACCATTCTCATATTACAAACGTCATTGTTATACACAGTGTTGGATTCTTACAATTCCGTCATGGAATATAATTTTGTGAAACAATTGACTTAAAGTATCATGAAAGATGGAATTAAATATAATAATCGAAATATATTACAAAAGATTTTTTTAATGATTAAATTGTATGTAAGCAAATGTAAGCATTGATTGATTGACAATTTCTATTTGTTATCACATCCTGCTTCATAACGTTCAATTTTTATGTGCCATCATATTACTTCTAGTTAAATTATTATCCACTTCAAATAAAAAAAAAGCATGAAAATACCTATATGTGTTGCGAAAAATATAAAATTTATACAAGATTTTCTATAATAAGAATGACGAATACTTTGTGTCGTGTAAAATATTGTATATACATTAATTAAAATATATACATAAATCGAAATACACTTTTTGTAAGGTAAATGAAATACTAAAATTTCTATAACAAATAATATATCTTTATACATTAAATTGCGAGGAAAAGATATACCATTGAGAGACTTTTTTTCCTTCTAAAAGCTAAATATTATGTGTCTGTAAATATCATTTGCTGAGACGATAAATACCTATCTACACTGAAACTTCAATTTATCATTTTGGCATTGAAAATTATCATCACGTCAAGAACCAAATCGTATTCGTCTCTTATCTCCTAAGGTATATATGTACAAGAAATTTCAAAACTGTTACAATTCTTACATTCGAAAGTTTTTAGTGAATATAAGACAAATTATGAAAATAAGAATGGAAAAAAATTAAATATAATTGTATAATAAATAATATTAATTCTCGTAAAATTTAACAAAGAGAATCAAAATATTTCTGTTAAAATAATATATATTTGGAATCGATTTGATAAGATTTTTATTGGTAAAGTTATTTCTAATTCTTCATATTTAATTTAATAATATTTTTTAAATGTGAAATATCATAAGAGAAAATGTCAAAAATTTTAACGAAAAGATGATTGTTTATTATATCGATTAAAAAATTTATTGAACTTTTCAACATTGATACAATGATTGAATTCTTAATTTATTTAATATTATTTTTACAAATAAAAAATAAATTTTATTTTATAAATACATTTTACGATATAAGTCACATTATGCGACATAAAAATATTAATTATAGAACGTTTTTCGACACACACACACACACACACACACACACACACACACCATATAAAAATAATAAATTATCTCATACGCTATGCATATAATACTTTAAAGTATAAATTTTTGCACTGCTGATAGCACTGATTAGATAATACAAATCTCAATACACAGGATAGTTATTATGTACATGTATTATCACTTTGAATTTAGATATTGGACAAAAAGATAAGGTTATCATGTAATGCTTTAAGTTGAATAAATATAAGTGCTTCGTACTTTTGAAATTTTTTCTTAAGCTATCACTGTTTTCGTTTCTCTTGTATGAATTTTAACAATAATTAATAATAATCATTATTCAATAAAGTTAACAAATTAGTGTATTAATTATATGTTTGTTAATTATAGTTTATAGTTTATATGTTAGTGTATTAATTATAGTTTAATCAATATAATTATGCATTCAAAATACAAATTCAAAAAATACACAATAGCGATAATATGCATTACATGTTTATAAAATTTAAAGGAAGAAAAATTATTTTGTTTTTGCTAAGAATAATTGGAATTTTATTGCATTTAAAAGGTAAATTATTGTTGACTTCGGTAACGCGTGGAGAAGCCGAAACAAAGCCAGTGCACACGCATTTATAAATCTAAATATAAAACCCATTCCTAGTGAGGCACGAGGCATTATATATATTTCATTGCCCACTCGTTCGACGTCATAGTATACAAATTAAATTTCTACAAAGTTTATCTAAAATTTTAATTTTTCCTTTTATTAAATATTGTTTCTATCGGTCGCTTTTGCTAATCTTTTTTGTATATTGGAAAAATATGAGCTAAATCATTTACACGCGCTTTATATATAAAATTGTTGCTCACCAGTTATTTTAAAATTACCTGCAATTTTAAAATTATAAAATTGATTGAATAGCAAAAATATGATATGAGAGAAACTTTACGAAATTTAAAAAATGTATATTTTTAATTATAAAATATTTAATTATAAAATATTAATTAAAAATTATAAAGTGTCTGTTTTCTATATGTGCACATTTTAATCAATAAAATAATATATTTTTATAAAAATTACTTTTTATTTTTACAATGTAATAAATTTTTATATGTTCTGCTCATACATTAAACATTTGAATTGAACTTTTTTGTCATGCATTTATTAACTTTTTGTTCAATTTAATTACATACATTATTGATAAAAAAAACTTATGATTTTCATGTTTTTATGTTTATAAAACATATTTTATCAGTATTTTAATTTCGGATTATTAAATCATTTTTTTTACAAACACGTGTAGCATTTATCAATACAGAAAAATGAACTATAACAGTAAAGTGTTCATTTGTACATAACAAAATGTATATTTCATGACACACGGCGTGCTCATAAAATACTTCGTACAAATTAGATGTTTTTGCAAATATATGTGTAACGTTAAAATTCAGGTTAATACATAATACATATTATTCTACGTTGTAGTTTGAATGTATTTCCGTAACTTTTGTGTAAGTAGCTTATCCACTTCTGTAGTTGTCATATGAATATTTTATGACCACTATTATTTTTAAAAGAAGCTTTTAGTACTATGTTGTTGTCTCAGTCCAAAGTCATATTATCGTACTGTATATACTATTCTCATGTTACTACTGCTTGCATCTGTATAAAGTACCACACATTAGATATATTGCCAAAATATTCACACTGTAACAAAATGCCTCGTTCAAAGAAGCTCTGACTAATAACATTATATTTAGTTATTATCCTGTAATTCTTAAAAATTTTATTGACGACATTTCAAGACAAACATTGCAGATGGGAAAACATATTTTATAAATATATGTCATATTATTTTTGGATGAATTTTTTAAGAAATAAAAGAAGTTGAAAACAAAATATGATGTTTTCATGCTTTGTGCGATTTACATAATATTATAATTACCAAGATAAGCATACATGATACATATTTTAATATACTTAAATTTTATTTCTATTGTTATAAATTACAGGTACAATAAATCGGAATAAATTTTTGTATTCGTATATAAATAAGAGAAATATTTGAAAATTTACGTTGCTATAAAATAATTTTTAGTTATTGTATTAAATCCGAGATGATATATGCATAAATTGCCTAAGTGCAAATAGAGTTTTGAATGCCTTTATATCTACATTCTTAGACTCTGGCAAAGAGAAGGTCGCAGCAAGAATCTCAGGTCTATCAAAATCATCGCACAAATTCGCGGGAGTTATCATAGCCACTTGCGGTCTACCGGCTCGTGGAAAAAGCCAGATTGGACAGAGCCTTGCTCGCAGACTTATTTGGAATGGCGTAACTACAAAAGGTAAGTACATCTTTAATGACTTAAAATAAATATTTATTAAATCCGTTTAATCCATGAAGATTTATTGTAATTATGTTTTATTCTCGATTAAATCAGGAAGAATTACAATATTCCATAAATTTTGTTTCAGTGTTTCGTGTGAGTGATTACCGAAGGAAGCGATTCGAACCTCATATATCTCAAGAACTTTTCCGACTGGATAATGCGGCAAATAACGCGTTAATAGCTCTCGCTCAGAGAGATACTATGCAGGATTGCGCAGCATGGCTTGCATCTGGAAATACTGTGGCAGTAAGTGTTAAAATGTTAAAAGTTTCTTCACGAAATTGTTATTGTAAAGAGATAACAATATTTTGAGTAAAGCTTCTTCTCTATCATAACAGAGAATACCTACTGATCTATCTATATCCTCAAGAACATTCCTCTGATTACTTTTCTGTACCTATAAGTAGTATCATAGGAAATTGCGTGACAATTGATTAGATGAAGCGTCACTGAGTGGCTTCACTTACAATAACGCACAGTTATTTTCCCTCCTTGTTTTAAGATCCTGGACGCTATGCTAATCACGCGAACACAACGCACGGAAGTCTATGATTACTTCTCCGGCCAGCTTGGTTATCGCGTTCTCTTCATCGAATGCGTCTGCGACAATCCAGAAGTTCTGGAGTACAACCAACAGGAGATCGTAAGACATTGCGCCGACTATACAGGGGTAGACACCGCTTTGGCTGCGGAAGATCTGCGCTCAAAAATCGCTTTTTACGCTGGAATATATGAACCTATGAACGATAGAACTTATCCCAGGATCAAAATTAATACTGCTACCATGGATATCGAGACCTGCAAAGTATCCGGTCACATTGAAACCAGCGTGCTTGGCTACCTTGGAGATATCAGCCTTAAACCTCACACTCTTTATTTCTCGAGGGTAAACAGTTAAAGTTTTTTTATACTTTATGATAAATATTTTTATACATTATAATAATTGCCAAAAAATGAAATAATTATGTAATACTTTTGAGGATGGATATTCTCTTCAAAAAAGCTACGCAGTTTATGGGTTATCTTCGTGTCTTAATGCATTATTAAATGTCAACGTTTCGTAAACATTGCAGTTTATTTCATCACGACGAGAAGCAATCTGATACTCTCCAATTCATTGCTTCTTAGCCTGATGAAATTACATGTCACGAAACGTCGACATTTAATAATAAATTAAAACAAAGAACTCGCAAATAGTAGTTTCTTGGAATAATTACGTATTCCACGCTCATAATTATGTATTTTACCGCTATTATCTATTTTACTATGCTATTTTCTATTTTACTTCGCGCTTTTATAGTCTTTCAGCTTACATTTTTGTATTGTATATTGCAGCATGGCGAAAGCGAGTACAACGTGGTGGGTAAAATCGGTGGCGATGCGGTATTGAGCACCAGAGGTGAGCGTTATGCTCAAGCCTTGTCAAATAAGTTCAACGCCATGCGTATTCCCGATCTTCGAATTCTCACTAGCCGCCTCCGTAGAACGATCGCAACGGTGCGTGGCATCGAAGCCCCTCGGGAACATATAGCCGCTTTAAATGAACTTCACGCGGGAGTGTGCGAAGGTCTCTCGTACGAAGAGATGCAGGAGCGTTATCCACAGGTAATTGCTATTTTTAAGTAAACTCAAGCAGAATATCGATTGTCAGCTAAAAATAATCGAGTCTCGAATCATACATGATTCAATTTGGGACGAAGTTTGAGCGATCAATATTTTATCGGAAATCTCTTCTAATCATGCGAGATAATCACGTAACAATATTATCATGTCTATTTATAATTTTACAACAGGAGTTCGCTTGGCGCGATCAAGATAAGCTTCGCTATCGCTATCCGTGGGGCGAAAGTTACATCGACGCGATGCTACGTGTCGAGCCGGTGATTGCCGAGTTGCAGTGTTCTAATAATGTTCTCGTAGTGTCACATCAGGCGATATTACGCTGCATCATCGGATTCTTTCTTGATAAGAAACCTGAAGAGCTGCCCTACATGGAGGTGCCGCTGCACACGATAATCCGTATCACCAGTCAGGGTTACAATTACAAGCTCGAGTTTTTCAAGCTGCCGATCGAGTGTGTTAACACAACTCGTGTCAAGCCACAGAACTGCAGTGGTGACCGTACTGCTGCGGATGCTCTGATAACCGTTCCCGCGCACTTTGACATACCGGATCCTTGGAGAAATCCCGGAAACGGGCCCACTCTCGTACAGCAGCACTAAAGGAACTAAAGAAGTTCGTTTTAAAAGTGACGTAAATCAAATTTTGAAATATAAGTTTGATTCTTAAAAAGAAATAATACAAAGCAATAGTCAATCGGTATACGATTTTGCATATGATATCAGAAAATTTTACAATAAAAAGAAATCAAATAAATAAGATAAAATGTTATTAATTTGTATTAATTTTAATTGTAATATATTTTTCTATTTAAAGAACTTATAAGATTTTTGAAAGTTGATTTATGTCACCATTGAAGCAAGGCATTCTTCGCTTATATCAAGAATTCTATATTCACGGCACTATAAAAGATTATTTACTTACTTGTTTGTAATTCTGGGATTTATTATTATTATTACAAAGGGAAATTAGATCACTGTCATTATTAATATTTTTATAGTGGCAGTTACATGAAAAGTATCTTACAAAGGCATGATGCATCGACTTAATTTACTTGCGATCGGAATAGATGCAATTGATGCAAAAAATGAAAAAAAAATCTGATTTCAAAAGTTTTTTTTTATATATTAGAAAAACGCACAGACTTTGAAGTATAAATATAAAATATCTTAGTTGATAATATTTTGTGTCCCGACCGACTTTGATGATAGGTCTATAGATATCCCGGTAGGATACCGATAATGTATACCTTTTTAATAGTTAGCAATTGGAAGCCCATGACTCGAGCCCTCTACGCATTGCGGGACTCATAGTTTTGTCAATAGTTTATAGCATTGTTCAATTCATAGTAGTTCATTTCATAGATTAAAGTATATTACCTGTCGTGCTAAGCATACGCACAGATTTGTATATAGAACGGATGGGGATTTGATGTTGAAAATTGTTTGTGATAGAGAAATAGTAGCGCGTAGAAATTGTCAATTGACGCTGCGCATATATATCATCGTATCTTTTCGTATCTCAGCATTTAAAAAATTTTTTTCCTTCAAAATATGTAGCGAAACTCTTATTCCGTGCTGTGATCGTTTTGATCAAATTTATGATCTCTTTTATTGTCACATTTTATTGCTTGAGTGCCCCATCGAATTTACGATTATGTTAAAAAAAAAAATAAAAAATAACGAAATATGTTCAGATATACATATATACTAGTTGAAAAATGTAATTATTGATTTTAAGAGATTACGCCTTAATTATCTGGCCTTTTATATGATACGATCAAAATAGTGAAAAACTCATCTGGGTACTCTAAGACATATTTTTATAAAAGATAGATATTAGATGTAATTACAGGAGTTATTTCCTTTATATCGACTAATTTTTATTTTGACCAGCAATATAATATGTTTATAATTATTTGTAATTCTTAATAATCTACAAATTATTAACCAATATATCATTTTACATATAAATAAATTATAGAGAAACTCTTTGCAACGAAAAAGATGATCGAAAACAAATCTTAACATTAAAATGACTTATCAGAGAAGACAGAATTTTACTAGTTCATTAATGACTGATGTTATAAATTATGATTTTCTGCAATAAAAAAAGAGAACTTACTATCTCGAGTAATTTTCTGCGAAATAAAGTATTGTAATTTATTATATACAATGATTTAAACGTACAATTGGTACATACTTTTATCTTTATTATTGGATCTTTGAAACAAATTTTTCTGTTACTTATATTTATATATATATAAATTTTATTTAAATTCAACATATTATTTTAGAGATTTATCAAAATATGTATTTTTAGCATATATAAATGTAAAATGTAAATGTAAGACGCAGACATTTAACGATACATGCATTTTCAATATGATTTAAATCAACGGTTGTGTTAAATTTATGAATTCAAAGTCCTGCATGAGTTTGCTATGATTTCCCGTGTAACTAAAACATAATTCCGGCTAAACAAGCAAAACTTTGCGGAATAATATGTACACAAATTAATCTTTATCCTTACACGTCGTTGATTCATTGATACTTTACTATATTTTATTAAAATAGTTTATTGCATAAACATGCATAATATTTATTTAGATGTGAACGCGAAGTTTTTCCAGATTTGCAATAATTAAGTTACAAATCTGATATTCACGCTTCCGAGGATTAGTTTACTTGTTTAATAATTTACTTGCTAAAATAATTTACGTGTGCTTTGCATGTCTTCCTTTTGAATGAGAAATCGATCTAGTCGATCTTCCGATGTTTCGACTGCTAAATATTTCGTGACTCTACACGTTTGAACGTTGAGAAGTTAATTATAATTTGTAATATGTATATTATGTGGTTAAGATATATTATTCATATTATATATATTATTCATAGTTTGAAAGCTTTAGAATTTTTTATTTGTACTCTGAATAAATTTTTTTTACAAAGTTTGTCTTTTATATATTTCTTGTTTTAATCTCATTTTTTTATCAAATAAAAGATAAGAATAATTTAAAAATTTATTTTCTTTAATACCACTAATATATAAAATTATATCTAGTACAATAAGCCAGAAAAAATTTCAAACCTATTAGGAACACGAAAAACTTAAGGCAATAAGACGGCAGTAAAGAAATGAACTGTGATTGATCAATTCGCTTATTGCTTATGTTTTACTGCTTTAAATTTTTTTGTGTGCCAGGGCTCTTAAAATAGATCTTTAGAAATTAATAGAGCCTGTATTTTAAAAAATTAAATACAAACTAAAAAAATTTAAAGAAATTATAATCAGTTATAACATTAAAATTGTTTGTTTAAAATTAATTAATTTATCTGGATTTATACAGTACGAAATTTTTCAAGTGTAAGACAGAAACTTTCAAGAATACTTGAAATTTTCAAAAATAAAAATACATGATTCCGAGAATTGTTTAAACTTTAAAATTTAAATTCTCGAAAATCAGAAATTATTAAAACATAATTAAATATAATGATGAATAAAATAATAACTTTAATAATTTCCATTGTAAAAATAAGACCTTTATTATTACTTTCCTTTATTTATATTATAAGCAGGGGGAGATCACACTCATAACTTTTTTTATTATTAAAGATCAATTGTACTTCGATATAAATATATAAAGATATACATATAGCTATGTAAAATAATTGAATAATTTGCAGAAATCTTTATAGAATAATCAGACAAGTTATGACTAGCAAATCATTTTCACATATGACTAGATTTAGTTTTTCATAAATACAAGAATTGTGACATCGGTTACTTCGCTAAACGAAAAATATTGATTATTCTTTTACAGTTTTTATATATCTGAAACTAATTTGACAATATTACTGTAAAATTTTTGAAAACAAAATTATAATTTATAAATTTTTGTCTCGAATGACGAAGGTAATATCATTTTAATGAGTAAAGAGATATCGTACGAACATATATATATATACCCTGGACTTTCATTTATATTAATTCCAATAAAGCACTATATATAGAAGAATATATTGAATTCGGGAATTTTCCTCACTTAATCTATTTTCATTCAAAGGTGTCATACTAAATACCCGATTTCATTAATTTTGACGTATAGTCTCTTTGTTTAGCAGCCAAATGCAAATCCAAACTTTTCAACATTCTCGCTTGAATTTCATGCGTGTTGGACTCTCGTTTACGAAAATCATTAACGAGAATTCCATCTTTTAAATGCAATGATTCGTTTTGTGAAAAATTGTCGAGTTCAATCGTATTTAATGAGCAGGATTTGTTTCGCGATTCCCGTATGATAGTTTTCATGAATTCAAGGGCCATTCTTCGACAAGTATCGAAACCTAATAATTGTATTCTTTTACTATGAATGGCATCTATACGGTGATTTTTCCAGCGCGTTCCTCGGTCTATTATTTTAGCGAGAGAACTGGGTGTCCCAGGTAGATCATGAAACACTTTAGTAAGAATTTCTTTTGTTAGGTCTTCCTCACTGCCGGATGCGTCTGTAAAAACAATGAAAATATTTTAATAGCATAAATTTAACGGTTATAATCGTAAAGATTATGAAAATAAGGAGGAAAGTAGAAAGACTTAAATATCAATTCATACATATATGGAAATATAAGATATTTTAACAAAATATTTATTTTGCATACAGTTTGAATTTTGGCTTTGGAAGATAAAAAACAAATAAAAAAAACATTTAACAATTAAAAAATAACTTTTCAATTTGTGTGCAAATTTTATTAAAAAATTTCAATTAAAGCTCATGTGTGAAGTTGACGAAATTGCTAAGATATCTTACGAAAATGGTTTTCATTTAATTATGTACAGATTGATGTCGTTCTATAGTTTTATATTATATGAAATTGAATTTCATGCAGAAGATATCTGTAATAATTGATATAAGCCTTGTGGAAACCAACACCAAACTTCTCTTATTTCCAATGTCGACAATAGAGAAATAAATTACTTTTATAAAAATGTCATTTCATTATGATAACCAATTATTCAGATAAATCATTTTGACATGATAAAAAAAAGTCCAAGGTCGCAGTATATTAAACAAAGGAAATAAACTTCGATTAAAACTTTATGAAGATCTAAAGTGCACGACATCTTTTTCTCGCAGAATGTTACAAAAGTTGATCGAGTACTTGAGTTATGCAATGCTTGAAAGAAGGGGAAAAGTTTTGCATTACTCAGATCGCTACCATCATCGATTTCTGCGACGTATGTGCCTTCCTTGATCTCTCGTTGTAATTCTAGGACTCTGGCTAAAGCCAACTGGAGATATTCTCTTGTATTTGGATCCTGCAGAAAGATGATACGCTTATGTACACTCGAATACACATGGAATACGTACTTACAGTAAAGACATTTTTGCAATATTAATTATATAATTTCTAAAACGTTATATCTTTATTTATTGATTGAGAATTATTTATTAAATAATTACTTATCTATCTCCTACATTTTATTAATTAATAATTTTAAATGCAAAAGAGAATAAACTTTTACATTTTAAATTATTAATTAATAAAATGTAGGAGGTAGATAAGTAATTATTTAATAAATAATTCTCAATCAATGTTAATAAAATGAAATATGCAAGAAAATTTTTTTATTTATACATTCCATATAAAAATTATATATTATATTGGTAATCATTCCATTAATCATATTTTAATAATATAATTAATAAATTTAACTTACCGCGTATTGTTCAGTGTTTTTTATTCTTTTAGAGTCATTGCCAACGTCTTCTAAACAAGGTGCCTGAATACAATAATTATATTAAATAATTATATTAAATTATATTATATTAAAATAATTTTTTAAATAATTTTTTTACAATTTTAAACATATATCGCTGTTCTGTTTTATTAGGAACGTTTATTTATAATAATATCGCGATCATTTTGTATTAATTATTTTATAAAAGTATATACTGAGAAAAAAATATATATATTCTAAATTTCAATAAATATTCATTTGAATAGTACCAACTATATATTTATTAAACATAAAACTATATATTTATTTGGTACAAAAAACATTATTAATTTGAGTCAACAATTATTTCTTTTAATTAAATACATATTTATTGTAAGTAAATGTTTAGTTGGCAGTATTTAAATAAATATTTATTTAAATTTAGGTCATTTTTTCTCAGTGTAGATAACATCTTTATCATAAATTATCTTACCGACGAATATCTCTTCATTATGATCTGGCTCAGCGTTTGTCCATCTATAATTCAACGAATCAGAAAAATTAATTTTTTCTACGCCTAGAAATTTTATTTGTGATTAATTGTAATAAACAAATTTCTTTCAAAAAATCCGAAAATTTTATAAAATAATAATAATACTCAACGTTATTTTTAATTAAATTTTCGCATTTTATTTCGCGTTTCATTTATAAAAGATGATTATATAGAAGATTGGTTATACATTGAAAAAATATACTAATTTTTAATAAATATTTATTTGAAATAATACTTACATTTAATAAAATATCTACTAAATATAAATATATATTTATATTTGGCTCAACAATTTAATTATTTTTATTTAAGTGTCATCTTTTAATAAAGTAAATATTTGATTAATATTAAAAATATGCTATGCTATAGTAAATTTTTTCTCAATATATTTATTTTATTTAATTTAAAAATAAGATGAGAAAATAAAAATGTTCAAATGTGTAATTATACAAATCAACTATAACAGATCAAGAGATTACGAGTAAAAAAACTTTAATGCTAATTTAATACAACATAAAACTCACGTATATTAAAATAAACATTTTTAAACATGAGGTCATTATCAATGTTGTAATAATCGATAATGATTAAAATAGTACATAAAAGTTGTATGATATTTCAGAATATAAAAATCAAAATACAAGTCAGACCGCAATTAACAATATAACGATTCGAAGCAATAATAGAAAGCTGTTATAGATGACCATCATTACAGTTCTCTCGCAAATGAACATCAATAGTCGTCAATTTAAACGCAATACTGCAATATAACCATAGTGGATCATAATCAACCTACCAATAAACCGTGTATAACAAGAACAGATATTGTAATTGGCATAACACATCAAAACTCAAGCTTTCACAATCCTTGAATAGCGAATAATTAACGTCATATTTTACGAAACTTGTAATTAAAACCGCTTTGCAATATAATACAATATCAAAATTGTAAATCATATAATCGTTAGTACTTAAAATTATTTTGGCTTATAATCCTTTAATTTATTTATTGATTTCTTTAATTTATGTGATGATTTAATTTTATGATATTGTCTAAACTATTACAGGAAAATTTAATATATGTCATAATAGACTTTGCATTGTACGTTGATAATGCCTTGTAAGCATTATTTCAGATCATTGTGTATTAGCACAATATCCATATAACTGTATGTACAATATCCATTATGTTCGAATATAAATGTTTTCGTGAGATTAAATGAAATTAATTATGTTATTGTTTTCCCATTTCAACATCTATTATGTTAAATTCGTGAAATACACTAATATTATTGTATATTATTTAAAAATTCTTTCACTATACTATGCTACTTTGCTACAAGAATAAGCAGTTTAATAAAGTTTATCAAATTTTTATAAAACGATGACATTGATACAAAATATGAAACACATAGAATGAAACTACAAACTTAGTATCTATTTGATCGTCTTAATACATCTCATCTGGAAGTAATGATATCTCGTGTTACTTACGCGCTTCTGCCTTTAACTACAAACGTGCACCTCTATAAGTTTATCCCTCAAGTTTGGATCAGTTATTCGTTATATCAACCTTGTTATTTGACGTTATCGAAGTATCGAGAGATTCTCTCGCGCTTGCAGACACAACGGCTTTGTGCCGTGCGTAAAGTTTCTTCATTAAACCCTTCCTCGTAAAAAAAATCACCTTCTTTGTATTCTGTTTATCACAAAAAGTACAGCATTATCGTTAACTATAAGTAGACTGTCAATGGATACGACCGTTGACTAACGTTGATGGTTCCGTACTACCAATCCCCTCATTTTCACAACCGTTGTTGAAGGGGGCCCAGGCGAGGGCGTCTGTCTACCTTCAATCCCCTTCGAAATCCAGCTGTTCAACCGTCGTGTAAAAAGTCTAACCAAACGAACGGCAGATGCAAGAACCCCCTTTTCTCCTCTCTCTACCTACGCGTGCCCTGAAGGGAAGGACGACGAGTGGCACGTGCGAGCGAGAATACGTTGCACGCGTGTCGAAGAGTCTCGTATCGATTATTCTTACTCGACGTCCAAGTGATTTTTGATATGTACGTTCCCATAAAATTTATTTACGCTAAAGAGAAAACAATACAGTTTTTATATATAGTATATACAGTTATAATCTTTATTAATGCAGTTCAATCGCATAGAAAAGAAACATATTGAAAATATTCTAAGTTGTCTCTTCCTGCGAAATGTACACAATGCTTCTAACAATGTACATATATACATATACAAGACAAGTAAATATACAAACTTAATTCGTAGCGTTTTACAAGTGATGGGAAGTACTTTCATTAATGTATTTTTTAATGCTCATGTGAAATAAATAACATTCTTTCATTAAAAAACGCTACGAATTAATTCCAACACCTAATATATACAAGTAACATATGTACATATCTGTCCTTAAATCGATTTTTTTCTTGATGAAGACTTTATACAATAAATTAATAATTTTAGTACATCTCATTTTTATAATGACATAGCGTGTAATCATTTCAGATATTATCTTGATTCTTGAAAGTTTTCTTTGTTTAAACTATTTTTTAAATACTTATTTTAAATACTTATTTATATTAACAACAAGTAATATACATTATACATTAATTTAAATATAAATAACATTACAGTGAGAAACTTCTACAAAATTTGCTCACATATAGTGTCAATACATTATATTATAAACTTTCGAATAAATGAAAACATTTCTATGTAATGAGCATACTTTGAAAAGACTTACATAATTTATATATACATTTGTAAATAACAAGTAATGCTAGCTACTTATACACAATTCAGTTGAGCTAAAGAGCTTTTAAAATGAGTTTTGTTTCATGTCATCTGTGTTTCATGTTTTCACGTTTTTATTCTCATGAAACACTTGTAGATCTAATTTAACTCGGTGAACCAATTACCATCATAAAAGAGATAATAAAACGAATGCCTATCAGCTCGATGTCGTTGTACTTCTTACTTTTTAATCTCTTTTTTATGACCCATTTATTTCTCGTGTCAAAGAACAAATTCAGTTTTCGTTGCTTATATGATTTTATTAAATTTATAGAAAGATTAATATTATTTTTGAAAAACTAGTTCCTAATTTTTTAATTTTTAAATTTTCTAATCTCATTAAAAAACGATTTTTCTTAATCCTCTATATTCAATTCAATTAATCTCCAAAGAAAAATTTGATGATGTGAAAAGTATATTAGTCGCTTGAAAGAGCTTTTTCAGTAAAAAAAATTGCAATGAATTTGCAAATGCTATTTAAAGAAAAGTACGTATCTGAAAAGATACAGTAGAATGAAACATACATATATTCTCAAATTGATATTCTTATAAACAAAACGATTACAAACGGGCATTCATAATCTTTAAAATGATTATGGAAATATTTATTCGAATAAAATTGTGAAATCTCACTGCATTTCTTTTAATCTGTGTAATGAAAAACCTGCAACATTACTGTAGCGACCATCCTGATGAAATTTTAATTATTTGTTTGATGCTCCATTATTATTAGCAGTGATAGTATCGCGATCTGCATTACAATTTACATTGAACCTACTTATACTTCACTCTGCTTATACTTCAAATTACTTACGAGAGCGATTTTCGGTCACCACGGGAGGCTTAGTTTCTACACTGCCCATTTCAAATACCCCGGTTGAATTAAACTCTTGTGTTCGTCTTCGAGTGGTGGAAGCGCTGGTCTCGTTAATGCGTCGACTTTTTTGTAAAAAAATATTTTCCTGCGTAATACTGCTTTCCGTTCTATTTCTACCGCAGACAGTGGAACCACCAGGTAGACAGTAACATAAATATTTATTAAATCTATGGTAGAAAGACAGGAGTAATAATTAAAAAACATATCTTCATATTATCTTTAAAAAACAGAATTTTTCGACAATAAATTTTCAAATTCATATTTGTGCTCTTAGAACACATTTTTGCAATCACACGCAAGCACGCACGCACGCACACACACACACACACACACACACACACACACACATAAAGATCATATATATATAATTTTACGAACAGAAAAAAGTTATGCTGATAAGTAGAAAATGTGTAAACAATCTTCCCGTACAAAAGTTTGCGGAAGGATTTGCATTTTGACGAGTTCTTACCAAGTATTGCAATGATGAAAAAAATATTATATATTCTTTTGTGAACATAAATTGGGTTTAGCTAATGAGATTACTTCAGAATTGAAAATTGTAAGATTAATATACTAATGTAAGTTTTGCATAATATATACTGTGTAAATTTTGTTTCTTAACTGTTATATAATAAAATTTTATGTCACTTTTTAATCGTGATTATTATTATAATAAAATTTATTATTATTGAAATAAAAGTATTATTAATTAAAAGTATTATTAATTAAAATTAACCGGTTTCTTTCTGATCAATATAGAAATTTTTTATTTACAAATAAAAAAATATTATACACACTTACTTTTGACGAAACGTGCGGCTAATTAAGTAGAGAGCAATGGGATTAACACAGCTATTGATGAAACTGAGGCAGAAACCAAATATTCTAAAGGTGTTCCAGTAAGAATTAAAATCGTCCATGGCCGTTGGATTAAAATGGAACCAGAGCACATAAATATGATATGGTAGAAAACAAATCACAAAAATGATTATAAAACACACTACCATTTTGCCCACCTAAATTGCAATAACAAACGAAATCATTAATACGCGTCCAATAAGAGATAAATGAATCTTAAAAATTATTTAAAGGTATGAAGCATGATTTTAATACTTTGAAACTTTAAGAAGTATATTTTTATATACCCTTTTGCGCGCCTTTATCTGTTCGTGAAGATCAGAACCGGGAAGTTCGCATGGCATATTTCTAGTAGACAATGTTAGATGCCATGTCATGCTCAAATAGAAAATAGCTATCACGCACAATGGTATCAAGTAATATGCTAAAAATTTGAACATTACCATACTCTTTCGATAAATTTGTCCTGTAATGTAAAAGCACATATAATGTAGTATTTATCTGTACGCGATTACTTCACAAAGCGTTTTATAAAATTTATATATATTTTTTTAGTGTACCTAATTTAGTTTTTATATTGTTCAATGATTTAAATAAAATACTGTATTAAAATAAAATACTGTGTAATAATATTTAAGTTCCGAATATAATAAATAAAGGCTCTAATTAGGAGAAATATTTAATTCTCAGAAAAGATAAAAATGCAAAAGTTATTAATTTTTTATGAAAGATAAATCAATAAGAGCGGATGTCGGCAATAATAACGATATATTTAATCTCTTATTCACAGTAGATTATATATAAAAATGCAAATATTTTATAAATAAATAAATTAATATAATATGATTAATAAATTAATCTTTTGTCATTATAATAAATATATTTTGTTCGTATCTAAAAAAAATTTTAAATTTTTTTTAATTAGTAAAAATAATATTATCGTATAAACTGATTAAAATTTCATTATTTTACAATTTACATATTCATTTATGTATTCCTAATTTTGTGTTCAAAGGAAATGTATCATGACTTACCAAATTCTTCAGGAAAAGGATTGCAGATTAAAATGCTGCGATTTCCTAATACAGGTACAGACGTTACTTCGGAGAAGAGCACGGCGGGCATAGCTATGACAATCGCTAAGACCCAAATAAGGGATGCCGTTAAAACAGTAAGTGGTTTTGCGCTTAAACCCGCCACGTGGCGACGAATAGGGTTTACGATGGCGCAATATCTATGAGAACGTGAGCATGCGGCAATAGATTATATCATAAAAGCAGCAGAAGCTTGCTTATTTCAAAGATAAATTATTCAAGATACAAACAACAATTAATTTGCATATCCTAGATCGTTATATCTCAATTTTTACTTAAATCAATCTTTCACTTAACCCCAATTAGCAGACAATGTTTTTAAAGCGTTTAAGTATTTACTTAACGTAAAAATATTTAATAAATATTTATTTAAAAAATATTTTTTAAATATTGTGTGCCGATGGAGATTTAAAATGACAAAAAATACTGAGAAGTTAATTGAAATTATTCCGATAAAAAATATATTTAATTTTAATAAAAATTAATAGTTATTCATTATTATACAACTATATTCTATTGAAAATTAATAATTGTATAATATTCAACTTCTCTCTTGACTATATCTGGCATAAATATCCAGTAACGTTTCTGCATGTACACATTGAACACGTATCTGTTCTACACACACACACACATTGAAACGAGCATACATTACACGGCATACATTATAATCTTTAGTACACATGATAATTTTCCGATCCTTTATTACACACGATAGATTCTTCGTGTACAGGTTCATCACTTTCACAAGTATACAAGAAATGTTAAGTGATTTTTACTTTAATATCTTTAGAAAGTATTTATAAAGCTGTAATATTAAAAAGGAAAAGCCTAGAGATCATTATTTAGAGTATTGCTCCTAGTATTTCAAAGAAGAGAAATAGGTACGCAGGATACGGATGATCCAATCGTGTGTAATAAGCGTTAATTGGTTTTAAAATTCGATTTAATGCTTGAATATATTATGACTGAATTTTCAGTTTTAGTCTCTCAATTAAGCGACGGATATTTGTAGTATCGTCTAACTAAGTAAAATTTTCTTTAATTCCTTGAATTAATTGAATTTGAAACGACATGATAAAGCTCTTAGTTCACATATTTACCTTTCGGCTGATAAAGCTGCTAAAGTAAATACCGACACACCAATCGAAATATCCTTAGCGTATTCAGATAATTTGCAGATAGTTAAACCCCATGGCCATGAATCAAGTACATAAACAAATAATGTGAAAGGTATGTAAGTCACAATCACCTGTAACAACGAATTATCTGTTTTTGAGATTTACGTGATATTTTATAAAAAATATAATAAATTATCCAAGGAAATCAGGATAATTATAAACATATCCTTTGCCTTCTGAATAAATATATTTTTTCTTGTAAGTAAAAATTGGCTTTTTTTCTTGTAAGTAAAAATTATTTGAGGATAGAAAGTTTCAAGCATAAAACATAACAATATGTATGTATATTTTAATTACAAATCTATTTTTCAGGAAAATTCATTCCTAAGAAAATATATTTTTTTATTTTTCTTACTTTTATCTTTGAGAGATACACATATTTTTATTCTCTTATATATGGATTGTGCTCATATTTAAAATAAAGATTATTTATATAATTAATAAAAAAGTGATTTTTAATCATAAAATTTAACGAAAAAGGAGCATAAAACCACTGTACAAGTATATTTACTGAAGATGGGCAAATATTGGCCAAAACGTCTAAGTTAAATCAGAACCTTTGTAATATATTAAATATCACAAAAAACAACTTGTGCAGTGGTTTTGCTCCTTTTTCGTTAAAATTTAAAGATTATTTATCTCACATAATTTTTACTCTTCTTGAATTAGACAGAAATTCAAAAAATAAAGAAAGCGCAATCAAAGCTGTATGCTTACCAATAAATCGCCCAGAGCTAAAGACAGCACGTATGTATTTGGTATATTTCTCATGCTGGTATGACATAGCAAAATAAGAATTAAAATACCATTTCCTATTACACCTACAATCAAAATTAATAAAAATATTACGGGTATAATATAAGTCTCAACTCTTTCAGCAACCGGTATATATTTATATTCATAATCCATTTCGGAGCTCATATTAAAAATATCTTCTGTTATCTCCATCTGTAACAAAAAAAATATTTTTGTTGCTTTTAACGAAAGAAATATTTTTGTTGCTTTTTTTGTTGACACTCTTGATATAAAAAAATGAAGTTGAAGCGAAATTGCAGATTAACATAAAAATATCTCAGATAACATATTGCATAAGATATCTAAAAGACGTCTTTTAAAATATCTTTTAGACATCTAAAAGAAATCTTTTCGATATCTTACGCAACATAAATGTTATCTGGGATGTACTTGAACATAAATCATATGTTCAAGTAAAAAGGAAACTATATAAAAAAATAATTTTTAAGTACTGCATATTGATTAGATATATCATTATTGCAGATAAAATGATAGAAACGATTAAAGATAAGGTTACAACCTCATCAAGTTATATTATGAAAATTTTTAACGATATAAACAGATCATCCAAATAACACATAAAGCTTTAAAACGTCTGCGATAATGTTGTCTCAGCTTAAATTACAGCATTTTTGTCTATGACAGTCACTGCCACAACGTTATTATGACAAACACATTGTACAAGTACATTATGACAAAATTGTAGTAGCAAAAATAGGACAACATTTTTGGAAACGATGTTGCAGCTATTTAACTGCACAACCATTTTGCTGTAAAGAGATTATACATATTATATATTATACCATAGACATACATATTATAGTGATAATCTGAATAAAATAAATTAATAAGCAGAATGTTTTTCATAAATTAATATTCAATGAAAGTTTAATTTTTAATTTTTAAATTATGTAAAAATATTTAAAATACAATAAAAAAAAATTCGATTTTATAGAGAACATTTTTCGAATAAAAAAGTTTTTTTAATAGAAAACTTATTCGCGAAATTCTTTTTTTAATAATTACGTTTTTTAATCTAAAGTGAGATAAATTTAATTCGTTTCTATATTTTCCTCCACATTTCTATTCACTCTTTATATGAAACTATAAAGTTACATTAATCGGCCGTAAGCACTAATTTATAATACAACGTTTGAAATTGTTTCATCGTCAAATTTCAAAGTTTTAAAATTACAAAGTACGAAATGGGAAACAATTTAAATGGAAAATCTCGATTGATACATGCAGCATGGTAAAATATTTCAATATTATTTATTATGTTATTCCAGTAATGGGCTTATACATCTCTTATAGATCTTGTTAATATGCATGCGTAGACACACGTTATTCTAATATAAATATAAATTTATATCACTATTGATTAAGTCGATTAATAAATAAATATATAAGTATATTATTTATTCTCTCTCTAAAGATAATATTCCTTTTTTGTTTATGTATGTATACACAGACATACACATTAATATGACCTCGTACATATTTTAATAGCTTTTAGTATGCATTACAAATCATGTTTACACGAATATGGAAAAATGTAATCTCATAAAACAACTCAAAATGTGTTACATGTAATCGAATATATTAATAATGCTTCACTAATCACTTAAACTCACAATCGGGCGAAGCGCTTCATTTGCAACTTCGATTTTTACGTGTGAATGACTTATTCTCCAAATAAATCGACTGACGTTTGAGATACAGAGAGTTACAGATATTTAAAAATTGTAATATCACGTTGATAACGATGGCTGTTGAACTATTATATCATTCCAAATATTTATATTTTCTATTTTTTAATGTAATATTATCGCAAACACATTGGGACATATAAATTACCTTTTGTTTAATAATTACAAATTGAATCGATCAAATTAAATTAAAAAATAATTTTTATATCTTTTAAGTAGATAAATAGACCACATAAATTTTAAATAAATTGGTTGTGTGGTATTTTCCTTAAATTTCTAAAGTCTATTTTGTAAACGACCTTTCACAGGAGAATCCACCTTAAGCTTATATAAGTTTGTAATAGAATAACTAAGTTATACATATTTTTGAAAGTTTCGAAAGTTCTAAGAGTATATAAAAGTAAACTTCTTATATGTAATGGCAAGTCTAAAATCAAATCATTAAAATCGGTGTTGCATATATTGCTCAAAGATACACAAGAGACAAGTTGAACATTATATTGTTTAACCAATACAGTTTAAACTTTGGCCTAAATTTAATTTTAATGTAAAACAACATGCGATGTATTTGTCCTATTATGTTTTATTCATTTCTTCGACTGAATTCTTTGCGTCGAAAGACGCAAGACTCGAGATAATTCACATTTAGAAGAAGATTCCAATCCATCTATTACCTATTTTATCTGTATGTATGCAGATATTAATAAATTTCCATTTGATGGAAAATTGTCGAACATATATTTTCATTATTTACTATTATATTTAAACTCAAACTGTTTTATATAATTATATTATATGTATAATTGTCAATTGAAGCACAGCTGAAATATTCAGTTTGCTCATACGTCTGACAGATAGATTACATGAAAGTATCGGTTGATGATGAGACTTATGGAAGCCTCGTGCTACTCTTTACGCCAAACTGTTTATACGCATGTACAGTTATAAATAGAAAATTGCATCAAAACTCAAAACGCATACTGGTGAATGTCAAGTATCACTTTAATCGCAAGCAAAGAGAGAACTCGGATGTTTAAAATTTAATATTAAAACCGCATTAAATTTAAAATTTTAAACACTTCAAAATTTCTTCAACATATTCGGGGACAACTTTTTAATTAAAAGGATACAATATATGCAATACATATTATATAATTTAAAAAATTATTTCTATGAACTTTTTAAATAAAATTTTTGTTGATATTTATCTGTTATTTGTCAATATAAGTTGCGTTATACGTCAATAACAAATGCAAGCAAAATGTAGCGGTAAAAGTATTTCGAGTATTTTGATATCGTATTATTTAGTTAGCTTCCACAATCATTCTACAACCAAATTAATAATTAATTATGGTGGCCAATAAACATTGTATTATTGTGTACAACAAAAATAAATTAACTATAATTAAACAGCTTAATTATATAACTTAAAGATTAATCATAATTGTTGATTGCGACGACACAAGATCAGGTACTATGAGAAATTCATATTTAAAAAGGCATGCAGAATGCAGCGTTTAATATCCATGTATAAAATACGTGGTTCGCAATATATCTCACCGGCACGATGTAGGATCAATATTGTTATCTACCGGATGTAATTAATAGTGTAATGGAACGAAAAGGTCAATTTTTGCTAGTTTGTTCGAATTACTGCTACGAAAGTCTATTGCAAATTTGATTTCAATACATTTCAATACATGCGTTACATGATAAATACATCGGGATTAAAGCGCGAGCTATTTTCGTGTTTATTAATTTTAGCAGTAACTGCGTGCAACAAGCATATGCGGTTGCGGTTTATACGGTTTATGTGGTAACACGCAATACATCAACCTGTGCACTGTCAATTACGGGATTTTTCGCTAAAACATCCGATTTTAATTCAGAAAATAATTGTAGATATATTAAATCAGTTTATTCTCCCTAAAGAAAATGCATTAAGTAAAGCTCACTAAGAAAATGCTTCACGTACACAGTTTTCGTTAACATACTCTTTAGTTATTACTTTCATCGTGTACAAATATTTACATCTCACTTTAATTAACGTCTTACAAACATTAATGAATTAGAATGATGCATCATGTTATGTTACATATGCTGTTATGTTACAATTCTTAATCCTCTTTGTTAATAAACAAGATCTTTAAGTATTTATCTCATTTTTTTTTATTTTATAGAACAGCGTAAATAACTTCAGATAAGTCTAAATGATGTAAGGTTTTTAATAACTAATTTTTATAAAAGATTGTAATTTAAAAACTTATAGTTATTAATAGTATGTTAGAAAGGAAAAGGTTAAAAAACTTTTATGGAATATCATTTTATTTTATGAAATAACTCGATAGATATTTATGTGACATAACAACTTTTAGTATAAATTTGTTATCCATAGAGTGATACTAATTATAAGCAGTTCTTCGGATATACAAAAGGGCTTTAATGCTCCTTTTTTAATCAGTTAATTCGTTCTGTAAGCCCATACGATTATATTGTTCATATTTTTAAATTACTCAAAGACAAATTAAATGCACTAGGGATGTATTTAAAATTTTTAAAATTTATAATAAAGAATAGCAATATTCTTCTCATAAATAAATCCAAACGTACTATTTTATTCTAAAGAACTTACTATGCATTAATATCTTATTATTGTTTTATTAATAACTTTACATCGTTTATATATGACTCATCATTCTCGCGGCTTTTTTGATTTGATTAAAAGATAACTACGAATACTTGTTAATCGAACGCTATTATTAATATATAGAATGCAATCCACTTGATGCTACAAATGGTTCAAATCATTTTATTAACCAATTAAAAGAAAGAGACTAATTGATTATAAAAAGAAAGTTTCAAAGCATTTATGCATCAATGGATTCATAGTCATTTATTTAAACACATCTATGATTCAGACCTAAGTATGAACTCTCCGTAAAACTATGTCTTTCAGAATTTCAAAGTAGTCGCAAGTTCACATTAGTTGATGTTACTTCTTCACATAAATGCCTCAATGCCTGAATACTGTCAAAAATTATAACTCTTTCTAGGTCAATTTAATCATGTTTGTATTAATTGATCGTGGACAATCAATTGATAATGCTAATCAAACGTACACAACAAAAGAAATTGAACTGAGTACTAAAAAGACAAAAGCGTACAGTCATTTTGATAATTAGTAAATACAAATAGACATATTATAATATTTATACTTCTTAAAAATATCTATTTTAAGGTAAGCTTAAACTTTTTTTCACGTTATACCTATACTTCATTTAATCATCATCAAAAGTTAACGTCATTATGTCATCACGATGTAGACAGTTACTTGAAATCCAATGAGGAATTTTATTTGACTTCGACGGAACGACATAACTTTTCCAATTGACGGAAGACTTCACAAAGTAAGAACCTTGCATTT